GGGGGGGAGAGAGAAAAAGATTTTTTAATGCAGGAATCTTGTGGATGTAGTCTGCCATAAAGAAAGTGATTCTGCGGTACCATTGACTATGTCATCGAGGCGGGGCAATTTACCTCTTCAGTTCTCCAGAATTATTTCCTTTTCTTAAAATGGGAATCAATTGCTCTTACAAGATCTTTAAGGTCCCTAAACAAAAGCCTGTAGCTATGGCGGGGAGATCTTGGCCTAAGACGACCAGAGGAGGCTGAATTGTTGGGTTTCCCCGCCAACCCGACACCTAAACCAACACCAACACCAACACCACCAGTGTCCTCGGTCGCCACCACCGCGGTAAGACCGAGAATGCCCACCTGGCTTACCAGGTCTCACCTCACCTCACCGTCGCCGAGCTTCCACCTCCAGCCTCAGCACATCACTTTTCCCCCGACTACGCTTCTGCGCACGCGCAGCACCCGCCGTAGAGCCAGTGCTCGCGCTCCGGCATTACCGCTCTCAAACTTGTTTTTCAATGCTTTTCCTCCCAGTGCGGCCACCGTCGTTGGGGAGGAGCAGAGAAAAGGGGCGGGGAAAAGGGTGGGAGTAGGTGAGCGCGCGCCTCTGGACCGTCCGTCGGGGTTTCCTGGCTGCGCGCGGCGGTGGCGAAGTCCGGGTAGCTGTAGCAGCAGCCGCGAAGATGGCGGAGGGGTTGGAGCGTGTGCGAATCTCTGCGTCGGAGCTACGAGGCATCCTGGCCACTCTGGCTCCACAGGCCGGGAGCAGAGGTGAGTCGCGCCGCCCAGCTCCTGGGCCGGGCCTTCCCGCCCCGCCTCCTTGGCCTCCTCCCCGCCCCGTCCGTGGAGCTCCGGAGCCCCCGCCCCTTCTCCCAACAGTGGGGGTGGGAGCCGCTGGTAGGCCCGTTCCTACCTTGCCAGGCCGAAGGCTGGTGTGGCTGCTGGCTTGAGCTGACCCCTCTGGCAGAGCCTGCCTGAGTTCCTGTCTCCACCCTCTTTCTCACCACGACGGTGACTATTCCCTTTTGCCCCAGCTCTCTTAGATCAGCCCGTGGTTTCCCAGTCGTCGGGAGGCGCGAACAGCAATGGGTGCTGGGGTTTTGTGAGGCTCTGGGCTTGATAATTCTCAAAGGAGCCCTCCTCGGGCCTGCCTTCCACGTGTGATTGGCGTCAAAGTGAAGAGACTGGAGAAATTGAGGAGAAAGGTGTAACGGGCTCGGACTTCCTCGCTGAACTTTTTTCTCCACCGCAAGCTTCTGAAAGCTGCGCCACTGGAGTGATCCGGGATCTCAGAGAGCTCACTGTTTTGATTTTGACGTTAGCATGTAGGGGAGCAGGTTTTTTGTTTTTACTTCTTTTAAGGAAAGAGGATGTTCATTTTGCCAGTTAAAAGTCTCCAACCACATCAGGAAAGCTCCAAGAAAGTCTTGTGTGTCACCTCCCCTTTGTTAGGCTGTGGAGTTGTGTAGAACGGTAGGTATGATAGGTTCCTTCTCTTAGTCTTTTTTTTTTTTTTT